TCCACACTACTGTCTGTGTCCATACGATATGTATATATACATCTAAGTTCCTGATTACTCCCCCCCCGCCCACTCGCCACCCCTACCTTCCCTCTAAAATTTGTCCGACTGCTCCGTGGTTTATTTTGTTCCTCAGTTTATTTTGTTCCTTAGATTCCACATGAGTGAGATCATGTGATACTTGTCTTTGCCTGGCTTATTTCACTTAGCATAATACTCTCCAGGTCCCTCCATGCTGTCCCAAAGGGTAAGAGATCCTTCTCTTTTACAGCTGCATAGTATTCCATGGTGTAGATGTCCCACAGCTTTTTACCCACTCATCTGCTGATGGGCACTTGGATTGTTTCCAGATCTTAATGTAAACTATGCTGCTACAAACATAGGGGTGCGTAAGTTCTAATTGGAGTTTGGGGTTTCTTAGGATATATTCCCAGAAGTGGGATCACTGGGTCAAATGGAAGTTCCATATTTAATTTTTTGAGGAAACTCCATCCTGTTTTCCACAGTGGCTGCACCCGTCTGCATTCCCACCAGCAGTGCACTAGGGTTCCCCTTTCTCCACACCCGCTCTAGCACCTGTTGTTTGCTGATTTGTTGATGGCAGCCATTCTGACAGGTTCGAGGTGATATCTTATTGTGGTTTCAATTTACATCTCTGATGATTAGTGACTGAGCATTTTTTCATGTCTCTTGGCCATCTGAATGTCCTCTTTGGAGAGGTGTTTATTTAGGTCCTTTGCCCATTTTTTAATTGGATTGTCTTCTTTTTGTTAAGTTGTAGGAGTTCCTTATATATTTTGGATATTAACTCTTTATCAGATGTATCATTGGTGAATATGCTCTCCCATACAGTGGGCTCCCTTTTCCTTTTGTTGATGGTTTCTTTTGCTCTGCAAAAGCTTTTTATTTTTATGTAGTCCCATTTGTTTTTCTCCTTTGTTTCCCTTGCACTAGGAGATGTACTGGCAAACATATTGCTACGAGAGACATCTGAGATTTTGCTTCCTATGGTTTCTTCTAGGATTTTTATGGCTTCACAACTTACATTTCTTAAGTCTTTTATCCATTTTGAGTTTATTCTTGTGTATGGTGTAAGTTGGTGGTCTAGCTTCATTTTTTTGCATGTACCTGTCCAGTTTTCCCAACACCATTTGTTGAAGAGACTGTCTTTATTCCACTGTATGCTTTTGCCTCTTTTGTCAAATATTGAGTGTAAAGGTTTGGTTCGATTTCTGGGTTCTCTGTTCTGTTCCATTGATCTATATGTCTGTTCTTGTGCCAGTACTAGGCTGTTTTGATTACAGTGGCTTTGTAGTATAACTTGATATTGGGTATTGTCATCCCTCCAACTTTGTTCTTCGTTCTCAAGATTGCTGTGGCCGTTCAGGGTCTTTATTGGTTCCATATAAATTTTTGAAGTGTTTGTTCTAGATCTGTGAAGTATGTTATTGGTATTTTAATAGGGATTGCATTGAATTTATAGATTACGTTAGGTAGTATGGACATTTTAATAATGTTAATTCTACCAATCCATGAACACGGTATATTCTTCCACTTGTTTATATCTTCCTCTCTCTCCTTTTTCAATGTCCTGTAGTTTTTCACAGGTCTTTTACCTCTTTGGTTAGGTTTATTCCTAAGTATCTCAATTTTTTTGCTGCAATGGTAAATGGGATTGCCCTTTTAGTTTCCTGTGAGCTCACTACTGGTATATAAAAATGGCAGGGATTTCAGGGTGTTATCTGCTACGTTGTCGAATTCCTTTATTAAATCTAGTAGTTTTTTGGTGGGGTCTTTAGGGTCTTCTATGTACAGTACCATATTATCTGTGAATTACAGTTTTACTTCCTCTTTTCCAACTTGGATGCCTTTTATGTTTTCTTCTTGTCTGATTGCTGTGGCTAGGACTTCCAGTACTATGTTGAATAAGAGTGGTGAAAGTGGACATCTGTTTTGTTCATGTTCTTAGGGGACATGGCTTTAATTTTTGCCCACTGAGTATGATGTTGGCTGTAGGTTTGTCATATATGGCCTTTATTATGTTTAGGTATGATCCCTTTATTCCTGCTCTGCTCAAGAGTTTTTATAAAAACTGGGTGCTGGATTTTGTTGGATCTTTTTCTGCATCTATTGATATGATCATGTGGTTTTTGTCTTTCAATTTCTTTATGTGATGTATCACATTTATTGATTTGTGAATATTGTGCCAGCCTTGCATCCCTGGAATAAATCCCACTTGGTCATAGTGTATGATCTTTTTAATGTATTGCTGGATCTGATTTGCTAATATTTTGTTGAGGATTTTAGCATCTGTGTTCATCAGGGATATTGGCTTGTAGTTCTCTATCTTTGTAGTGTCTTTATCTGGTTTTGGAATTAGGCTAATGCTGGCCTTGTAAAAAGAACTTGGAAGTATTCTTTCCTCTTGGGTTTGTTGGAAAAATTTGAGGATAGGTGTTAATTCTTTGAATGTTTGGTAAAACTCCCTTGTGAAGTCGTCCAGCCCAGGGCATTTGTGTGCTGGGAGTTTTTTGATTACTGCTTCAACTTCATCAGTAGTTATCAGCCTATTCAGGTTTTCTGACCCTTCCTGGTTGAGTTTTTCTAGGAATTTGTCCATTTCATCCAGGTTGTCCAGGTACTTGACCTTTTCTTGAGACCCACTGTCCTCAGACAGAGAACTGAAAAAGCACCCAAATGCTTGCTGGAGAAGGGCACATGGGCTCCCCTGGGCTGTAACACTGCTCCAGGCCCACGAAGGCACGGGGAGGCAGCCCCAGAAAGAAGATAGTCTCTTAATACACACTGGCCCTCTCTGCTATCCAACACCACCAATCATCTTCCTGAAATCCCTTCTTGGGAGGGGTGAGACGGATAGAGAATGGCGGCAGTAACATTAAGTATATTTCTTCCACTGAAGGCCTTCTGAGCTCCTTACAAATGTATTTTCAACTGTAATCACAGTATACAAATAAGAGCAAAGTTGACATAATCGAAGGTCTAGGTTCTACTTGTTGGTGAATTTTACGTAATATAGCAACACATCAGTTTTCTTCCTGCTAAAGTTACAGAACCAATTCTGTTTTCATGTAAAACCAGACAAAATACAAAAAAACCACCACCACAAGCCACAGAAAAAACATCCTGTCTTTTCTTTGAATTATTAGGTGTAGATGCTTTCTTTTAACTCTGAGTGTTCAATTCTCTTTCCTAATAGTGTTTGGTGTTAGTCACTTAGCAAAAGACTTACCCTGCTCCTCTGAGCTTGCGCTCCTGCAGTATATATTTTGTGATCTCTCTAAGGAAACTCAGGGTAGAAGCATGCCCACTCTTTGTAATTAGTTTACCTTCCTCACACTGGGCTGCTCAATGCTGGGACTGCGTCCTTATTTCACATGCTGGCTCCTCTTCATTCTTGGGCTTCTCAAAGGTAGCGGACTTCTTTCTCCTGAACATTTAAAAGTTCAAAGGAACAGAAAAGTCACATTCACAATAACAAAATGCTATTTGTTTCACAGGATAACCCTACAAAAACAGCCTCAACTCTACGAGGCAACTTCTATATCACTGGGGACAGAGGCTATGTGGATGAAGATGGGTATTTCTGGTTTGTTGCAAGATCGGATGATGTCATATTATCCTCTGGGTAATTTTTTCATCTGTGCATATGTCTTTATTAACTGATCACCAGTGTTCCGGAATGAACCTGCTGCCCACCTTTATAAATTCCTGTTGTATGTTTTACTTCCCAGTTACCGAATCGGACCATTTGAGGTAGAGAGTGTCCTGGCTGAGCATCCCGCAGTGGCAGAGTCAGCTGTGGTCAGCAGCCCAGACCCCATCAGAGGAGAGGTACAAGAATGAATTCATCTCCATTTTATAATGTGTTAGCAGTCTAACACATACTTTTAAATAATAGTTCATTAAAACAGAATTACCCAAATAATTCACCCACTTACTGTGCAAGTCAGATAGAAATATGCTGGTCAGAAAGAACTGCTACAAAATTTGACTGCAAAATACATACTATAAGGAATTGGAATCCTTTCCATGGAGCGAGGGCAAAGGGGGTGTGAATGCCACAGCCCAGGCTTACACCAGGTAGGGTGTCAGAGTTTAGCTAGGTTGGGTCACATTGTTACCCAGAGGTCTAGAAACTGACATGGTCCCTGGAGTAGCACGAGAATAGGCTGGCATCACAAAGCGGGGGGTGGGAGCAAGGTCTGGGGCAGGAACCGAGGCAACCAGAAGCAGGCTGGGTAGGTAAATAACCAGAGGATAAGGGAAATAAGCTATAAAGACAGAAGTCCTGAAAGCTCACTCCTATTGGGGCTGATCACCTGGTAGTTTGGGCTTAAAGGTTCCATGCCCCTCATCAGGCGCCCTTTGCCAGACTCCCAGTATTCCAGGTGAGTAACAGCAGGGGACAGATTCAGTGATTAATGAAGTTCATCCCTTTGAGCTGAATTCCACCAGAAGGGTTTCATGACTCTCAGCTCCTCCTGAACCTCTCCCCTAGCATCAGTCCTCATTGATTTTACCCAGACAGATGCTTGGTAGTCAGCTGATATCCCAGAGTATAAGACAACAAAGTGGGTTTGGGTCTGCCCACACAGGGATCCTGGAGTAGGGCTTGGGTTAGCCAAGTGAGGAGAAAAGATTGCCCAGCTCCATTTCCCATTAGTGAGCAGCAACAATTCCCGGCAGATGTGGGTGGGTGTCCTGAGCCAGGTGTCCTCAACAAGGTGGCTGTGTTCTATGCTTCTGGCAGCTCCTCTCCTTCTGGTAGCAGGCCTGTCTTAGCTGGGCTCAGTCTTCCTCCAGGCTAGGTCTTCCCAGACCTAGGATTGAGTAGCAAGTTCCAGAAGAATTGACCAAAAACAGATAAAATGGCCCTAGTCAGTTTAGCTCAGAGGTTAGAGTGTTGGCGTGCGGACTGAAGGGTCCCAGGTTTGATTCCAGTCAAGGGCACGAACCTCAGTTGTAGGCTCGATCCCCAACCCCACTTTGGGCTTGTGTAGGAGGCAACCAGCCAATCGACGTGTGCCTCTCACATTGATGTCTCTCCCTCTCCCTTCCACTCTCTCTGAAAAGCAATGGAAAAAATAGCCTGGGTTGAGGCTTAAAAAAAACAGAACAGATAAAATGAAGACTTTATGGCAATATCCAAAATATTGATCATTTTTATTTACATTCCATAGTCTTGCAACTTACTGTGTACATTTTCACACTGTTGTCTATTTTGCAATGTTTTAGCTTTAAAAATTCCTAATGCTATTTGCTAATCCTAACTAAGTACTTGGACAATTTTATGATTTTTTTCCTCAGGTAAACTATCCAAAAGCAGATGGGTTTGCTGTGCAGGCTGATGCTCTAACCACTGAATCACACTGGTCAGGCCTGGTTCCTTTGCTTTTGAAAATTTTCAGCCAGTGAATTAATTTACCTACATTTACCTTAATTTAGCTACATTTTCATAATTTTAAAAAATGTGTGATTTCCACAAGGCTTCTTTAAAAGACGTAACTTTCAACAGGGACAAAGAGATGGACGACTTTGTTACCGTTGCTTCTTCCGACAAGAACATTTAGCTTTTAAGTACTATTTTAACATTGGCATGTGAAATAAGGAGCTGAGAAGTATTTGTCTTGGGTGCTCGGTTCCTAAATTTTTTGGACCACACAGCTTCTTTGGAATTTGAAGGCCACTGGACCTATGCAGTGATGAAAATGTTCTGTATTTGCACCATCCAATACAATAGCCACCCCTGGTATGACTAAGGAAATTTTATTTCATTTTAATTTAAGTGTAAATAGCTACATGTGGCTAGTGGCTACCATTCTGAATAGTATAAACATAGACTCTTCTCATAAACATGCAAAATTTTGCGGAGTGTTTCAGAGAAACTTTGAAGCCCACTTAGTTTTCAGGTTAAAATAAATCTTGTGCTCCTACTACTACAACTAATAACGAATGTTTTTGAGGACTTAGTATATCCCAGGTATTGCTGTAAGCCTTATACCTACGTTACTTTAATCCATACAACTTTTTATAGAGAAGGGAACTGAGGCACAGAGAGGTGTCCTAACTTGCCCAAGATTATACAAGTATGACGTGAACCCAGGCTGTCACACTTCAGAGTTCATGCTCTCGACGAGGTTAGGTTGTTCCTTGTTAATTTATCATTTTCTGTAATGCTTTATAAAGACTGTTATAAAGATAGGCTTATCCAAGGTGCAGAAGTCACCAATATGCAAAGCAGTAATTACAAACATTAGTTTTTTTTTTAAAAAAACATATCTTTATTGATTTCAGAGAGAGGAAAGGAGGGGGAGAGAGATAGAAACATCAATGATGAAAGAGTCATTGATTGGCTGCCTAGTCCGCAACCCGGGCATGTGCCCTGACCGGGAATCGAACCCCAATCTCTTGGATCCTAGGTTGATGCTCAACTGCTGAGCCACGCCCGGCCGGGCCAAACAATAGTTCTAAAAATAATTTGCCTCTGAATGAACAAGTCACTTATAACAAGGATACATTTAGCCCGGCCGGGCATGGCTCAGCAGTTGAGCACTGACCTGGGAGCCAAGCAATCGGGGTTCAATTCCCGGTCAGGGCACATGCCCGGGTTGCGGGCTCGATCAATGACTCTCTCATCATTGATGTTTCTATCACTCTTTCTCCCTCTCCTTTCCTTTCTCTGAAATCAATAAAGATATATTTAAAAAAAAAACCACAAAAAACAAAAACAAGGATACATTAAAAATATATATTTTTTAATTGATTTTAGAGAGGAAGAGGGGAGAGGGAAACATTGATGTGAGAAACATTAATTGGCTGCCTCCTGCACGCCCCCTACTGGGGATTGCGCTGCAACCTTTTGGTGCATGGGACAACAGCCAATCAACTGATCCACACTGGCCAGGGCTAGCAAGGATAAATTTAAAAAAAAATTCATAAAGCCAGGCCGGTGTGGCTCAGTAGTTGAGCATTGACCCATGAACCAGGAGCCTACAGTTCAGTTCCCGGTCAGGGCACATGTTCTGGTTGCAGGCTCAATCCCCAGTAGGGAGCATGCAGGAGGCAGCCGATCAATGACTCTCTCATCATTCATGTTTTTCTCTCTCTCTCCCTCCATCTCCTTTCTTCTGAAATCAGTAAGAACATTTAAAAAAGCAGCAGAGCAGGCATAAATACAAATAATTTTTAAGAAATGTCAAAATATGGATAGGATACAATTATATACATGCATATACAGACATATACTCACACAGTTGTGCAACTGCCCTATGGCACATGTAAATTAGAAATGTTTAAGGGGTTTTGGTAAAGACAAAAATAAATGCTCATAAAATGTTGTAAAACTGCTCATTGGTAAACAATGGTCAACATGTGAAAACTTGATAACTGCAAATCTCCATTTCTCATTAACTGGTTGCCCAGAGTGGTTTATTGTTCCAAAAAATTCACTTTCAGTTAACACTGATTCCCAGGCTATAGTGGGCAGATAACGTTGGCAGCTTATCTTCAAGCTGAGTATATGACCTGTGAATAAGATCTCAGCCTCTTAAGTGCAAGAAATTTCATCATCAAAGTTGCAGGAGCCTCCTGGAACTGTGCCCAGAGGAAGCATCGTTCCAAGGAGGGCCTGGCTGGTGATCTGGATTTGGTGGTGCATTACTATTTGCCTCACCCAGAGCTGCCTCTAGGGAAGGCAGTGCTGGCAGTGCCAGGAGAGAACATTTATAATATCAATACACTCTTGAAGGGGCTCCACATGAGGGGTGGCCTTCTGCCTTCTCCATTAAAGGTCCAAACACTCTGAGCAGGGTTCGGCAAAGCAGTTCAAGAAAGGGTCAACTCTGAGCAGGATTTCTGAGCACAGAGTGATGAAAGCTTTCGTCTTCTGCCAATCAGAGAGCAAGGCCACCCCCACATCTACTCCTGTTCCTCAGGGTCAGGAAAGTGGGTCAGAGCAACAGTAAAGCAGCTGTGGGAACCTTCGCAGCCTTGCGTCAACAGCAGTTATCGAATAAAGAGTGCATGGCCTCAAAGATGTGTTCTTTCAACAAGCATGTGACAGGCCATGTGAATGCTGTTCATAAGGTGGGGACCTAGAAGCTAGGCTAGATCAAGCCTGGGCTGCTACACAAGAGACTGTGCTTAGTGTATTGCCAAATTTCCAGTACACTATAATTTTTTGAAGGAGATAAAAGATGAGGCAAGAAGACAGAAACAGATACCAGAGACAGGTGAGAAAGTAGAGTTCAAGATGTAGTTAGATGAGAAGGTTCAAGTGTAGATCATAAACAAAGCAGGGGTCTCAGAAGCTCTCCTGTATTAGATAAACAGGAGGTGGTGGCCCGGCTGGGCGTAGCTCAGTGGTTGAGCACCGACCTAGGATCCAGGAGATCGGGGTTTGATTCCCGGTCAGGGCACATGCCTGGGTTGCAGGCTCCATCCCCAGTCGGGGCGTGCAGGAGGCAGCTGATCAATGACTCTCTCATCATTGATGTTTTTCTCTCTCTCCTTCTCTCTGAAATCAATAAAGATATATTTAAAAACAAAACAAAAACCAGGAGGTGTGAGCACCAAATGCCTGGCTTAAGAACAGAGCTAGGATCAAACTCTGTTAAACCTTCTGGCCTTCCACCAAGCACTTAGATTCCCAGTCAGAGAAAGTAAACAAGACACACTAAAGCATAAAAATACACAATTCATCTTACTGGTGTTTCAAATATTTATTTTAGGTAGTCAAGGCTTTTATTGTTCTGAACCCCAATTACCAGTCACATGGCCAAGAACAACTAAAAGAGGAAATTCAGGAGCATGTAAAAAAAACTACAGCACCCTACAAATATCCTAGAAAGGTAGGTATTCTAATTATGATAAATATTTGCTTAGTGTTCTGGAAAATTTAAGCAGTTTATTTTTTCAATTTTAATGAAATTCTCCTCAAACATGCTACACCCAATATTCTAAACTGAATCAATGGCATGGTTAAGAACCAGAACCTTTGAGATTACATGAAACTCTTAAATCAAATTTGTTTGGTCACCTGGCTCACCAGACTGGTAGTAAAATATTAAATATCAAGAAAAATCTCAACAGTGCCCCCCTTCCCCCTTGTTACCAGAATCCCACCCCAATGTGTCCTATTCTCTACATAGAGTTCATAATAGAGCTGCTATAGAATTGACTTTGTCTAAAGATGAATACTGGGCTGATTTTCTTCCCTTGATACCAACAGGTAGAATTTGTTCAAGAGCTGCCAAAGACTATCAGTGGGAAGATAAAAAGAAATGAACTGAGGAAGAAAGAATGGGAAACTGTTTAAATCCATTCTTTTAACCATCACAGCATCCATAAAACAAAGACTGTAGAAACCTAAGATTATGAAGAGGTGATAAAACTGTGACAGTATGCTTATGAACTACTGATTTAAAATATCGTGTGGCCGTAACACCAGAGGCTGGATTCTGAAAAGAAATAGTAAATGCCTCTGCGTTAGTATCAGTGTTCTTATAATTTGCTAATACAAAAAGAATACCATCAGCTGATAAGGAATTTTTAAACGTATGGTAGAGAAGCAGTTTCTGAACCAAATCTCTGATCTGTTGATTTTCACATCTTAATTGAGTTAACTCTTATGATATGTTAATATACAAACCAGAACCAATCTTCAAGCACTGAAATAAAACTAACACAAGCTTTTAGAAACACAAGAAAACCAGATTATTCTCAAAGTATAAGTATCTACCTGAAAAACAGGCTAGTGATTTTTATTAGTCATATTTTTACTCAATTAACTTAAAACAGTTTAAAATTAGTTTCAAGGTCTAACTGCAAAAGAAAGATATCATATACTATTATTGTTTATTATATTTAATCTAATAAATGCAGTTTACAAAATATTTCATTTATGGTTCTTCAAAAAAGAATGATAAATTTGGCAAATGTCAATATATGAAATATAAATAAAACAGTTTAAGACATTTTAAGAATACTCATAATGTTTGGGAATTCAAGGAACAATGAGGATTCATACACGAACAGAACACAAAAGTTAGGTAGCTGGTGACTGAAATTAGAAGCCTGTGAAATTTATTTTCTCTCGTGTGTGTGTATGTGTTGTGTGTGTAATAGCCCAGTGCAGTCTAGAGTTCAGATATGCTGTCCTCATAACTTGTAGCCGTATACACTCCTTTTCTCTTTACCACACTAGAAGTCGCATTAAAGTAAAAACATGGTTTAGATACAAAGAAAGTTTATCAATTCCTCATGGAAGGTCTGAGTCTCAATGAATTTTTAGCAGAAATATTTACATTTTGATCACAAACATGACTTGTTTCTGGAGAACCAGAAGTGAAGGCCCCTGAGGAATGAGACCAAACTGTGCTGTTGGCCCTCTCCTTTTGAAGTGTTTGTTCCCATTTGAAATAACCACATTTTCTGTTTTCTTGGTATTTCCCAGTAGGGCAACAGTAGAAGACTTTTCCATGGTTTGGTCCATTATTAGAAACAACAAGTCTCTTAGACCTTCGGCCACACTTGCATAATGGAGGTGTCATCTTCCCACTCTTCCAAGGCTCCTGTAGGTTAACTGCAGGAGTTAAGACAGAGGAGGGAACCTTCCAAGAAGAAGTTCTCACTGGGGAGCCATCAGATGATGTAGGCTTTTCTTCATGAATAGTGAAGGTCTGTTTTTTCGCTAGGGGGGAAATTGGGGGACTGGATAGATTCCTTTTAGTACCACCTAAAAGAAGACACTTCCCCAAAACTGAAGGATAAGACATACTGGCCTTAACACTGTTCAGACTACTTGATTTGCACTCAGGTAATTTAAAGTTCGAAACATCTGAACTTGGATCTTTGGATTCTTTTACATTATAAATAGTAGTATGTGGACTCTTATAGACAATTGACTTAGAGGTCTCAGATTTTTGAGGAGTTTCTTCTGTGCCTCCAAAGTTTCCATAACTTAGCATTTCAGATTCTTTTAGAACCACTAACCTTTCTCCAGAATTAAATGAAGTAATTAAGTTTGAATCACTAATAGGAGGCATACAATCTATATTTTGCTCAGGCTGAGATGCTGGCAATAAAGCTACATCTTCCCAATCGGCCAACATAGGTAAACAGTCAAGAGCAGAGCTCATCTCCATATCAGAAACATGATTAACAGATGAAATAGTAGTTGAAACAAGCACCAATTCTGAACCCACTGTTGAAGACTTAGATTTGGTATTAAATGCATGATGTTCGTTTTTTATTTGCTTCTGCACAGGTGTACTGAAGCTGGGACACTGCAACTGCCCCAGAGAGGTAGAGGACTGAGCATTAAAGAGAGATAAATAGCTTGTGACACTGCGCAGACCCACTTTTACACTGCTCTTTGGTTGCAATTCATCTTGCTGTGCCTTTATAGAATTCGTACCAACTGGCCTCATTTGAACTTCTTCACGGTGTGCTGTCCTTTTAGGCTCCCTGTCACACATGCTGGGACCCTGAATGCTACCACTGCAGGCCAATGTTTCTTTAACTTGACTGGTATTAGAATTTCTGGCCAAAATGTTGGGATTCTTCTTGGTGGGAACCTATGATTCCACAGACAAATCCAATAGCTTTAGCAACTGTATATTCAGAATTTCTTTAGTATACATTATTATATGACGAAACAGATGCCATCATTGATTGACATAAATTATTGCACACATGACATCTACTTTTCAGTGACCCTACAATTACTTCTGAAGTTTGAGATAACAGAATCAAGGAGCAAGATGTCACTGACCTTATTCCAGGACCTTGTGATTTTCATTAAACAACCATCCCTGATCATTTTCCAAGCGAGAAGGGCAGTATTCCGAGAATCATCCAATCCTGAGGAAATAAATATCAAACACTGAATTTAGGAGGACCAGTATACAGAAATATATCAAAATGACAAAAACAAAAAAACCACCACTTAAATGGAAATTGGAACTGTTAGTTTTATGACCATCTACTAGTTTTAATCATGATAAACTGGTCTTGTGGAAAGCTGTGGCAGCCTTACCAATGAAAGACAAAATCTCTCACATTTACAGAGGAGATGAAAATTTGTTAGTTCACAAAAATGTGACCAACATTCTGCAGGGACCATGTTTTGTGAGTAATCTAACAGTCTTGTTCAATTTTTCACTAGTCCACTGTATTATTTGGGCATTTGTTTAATTCCATTTGATTGGCCAATTCTTTTCATTCTTTTTTAGCAATTGGACAGCCACTAGATGGCAGTCTTTATCTTATAATACTTCATGAAAGTGGTAATTTGAGTCTTAGAAACAATTTAAACTGTATAGGTTAGTAGGAGCTTTTTCTAGGCTGAAGGATACTCCTTATTAACGACATCATAAAAAATGAGATTCACATAAAAGACTTAATAAAAAATAAAATTACTTACATAATAAAATTATTTTCAATTTATACTAACCAGAATGTTCTCGTCCCAAGAATTCTATTCCCACTTCCTGCAGGGCACCCCGTAGTCCTTTTGGTTTTCTCCTATAGAAAATCTAATGAAATAAATGAAGATATGTCTAAAAAAATGATTACTATTTGGAAGGCTATGTATTAACCGTTTTTCATAATTTTTAGTACTAGATTTGGAACGTGCTTATTTTTGTTGTTTTTACAGACTATAAGAAACGTATTCACGTGAATGTTTCAAGAGAAAATATTTTATTTGTAGGAATCCATACCCTTGTGTGGAATAAAGTTTAATCATTTTTCAACAGAAAGAAACTGAACATGCCCCCACCCTTGAATCTTACCTTGTAAGTGACTCTGAGATCAATCCAAGAATTTAGGAACACAGGTTTAAACAGCTGTTTTCTTTTACACTCATACTCGAGGCAAACCCCCAAGTCCCAGTCTGCATTAAGTATATTAAAATAGAGCAAAGTTAATGATGCCGGCAGTTTTTGCTTATGCAATCATCCTTTATAAATAACATGCTGAAAAATGATATAAAATAGTATGATTTAGAATAATATAACATGTAATACTATGTACATACTATGATAATATAACAGAATAGTAAGATTTAATTGCCTTGCTAATGTCTAGCAATTATTCACTTTCTGTAACTTTATTGCTAAGAAATTAAGTTGGTAACTAAATTCCAAAATGAAATTTAGCACTCAGTAAGACACAATGACCATTTCAAAAATAGTAAGATTTCAAATTATAAGGTCTCTATGGAGATGGTTATCCGCTTTCAACATTCTAAGAGAATGCTCATGTAATTGAGAAACCAAACACCTGAAACCAAGTATCACTATCAATGCTAAGCAGCAATGGCACAGCCGTTGCTATCAATGAGAAGTAATGGCAATACTGTATCACAGGCATACAAAAGATCTACTCTAAATGGCCTGTTTTTCCCTTGATGTATACATTAGTGAGTGTGAAATAAAAACAAAGGATATGAGTTGAACAAGGAATCTTTTTATTCAAGGTTGTATAAAAATAGCATGATTAGAGTTTTCACTAAACCATCTTTACCTGGATTCAGAAGAATAGAGAGAAACAATCTAGAAAAATTCTTCAAGTTAAGGCTTACAGTTTTAAGGTATCCCAGAATGGTAATTTTGAAAATATAAATCAATTTACTTTTCTTGATTAACATCAACTGGGCACTTGGATTTCTTTTCCTCGCCCAGAAGGTTAATAAGTATAACTCTTACTAGACATAAAGAATTACATAGTGGTGATAATACTCATTTATGATTGATAGATATAACCTTTTTTTACCTGACCAAGTAACAAATGCGCATAATTTTACTTCTGAAGTAGACAGATCTGAAACCCCGGTAGCAAAAATAATTTTCTTCTGTTGCTGAATCTTCTGAATCCATTTACAGAACTGAGATAGGCAAATCTTCAGAGGGACTCCTTCATCAACTTGAGCCTGAACAGTGACAAAATCTGAATTCAACAATCGAATTTCATAATTATTGAGCACATACTCAGGCACCGTGGGGTATATAACAAAGAAGTTCTACTGACAAAGAGTTTATCTAGTGAAAACATGTTAAACACATGGGAAAGAGATAATGTGATGATTAGGACTCTACAGAATAAGAAAAATTAGGTTACCAATTTAAAATCACACAGAAATATAATTAAATTCAGATCACCAGAAATTTTATGTATTTCCGCAAAATAAATTTGCTATTCATTTTTACATTATTCTTTCTAATTTTTAAAGATTCTAATGGACTTCTGGAGGGGACATTATTTCTCCTAACACTAAATAAATCTAATTCCAAAAGGTATATAGCTTTTATTTTCTTTTTGAAGTTGATTTCTGAATTTAATATTTTCATCATACCTGCCTGTTTATTGTTTGGGAGCT